ACTTTCATTTCCAGTAGATTTAGTGTTTCTATTTTAATATTTAGATCTTTGATGCATTTTGAGTTAAGTCTAGTGCATGGTGAAAGACATGGGTCTAGTTTTAGTGTTTGGCATGTGGAAAGCCAGTGTTTCCAGCACCATTTATTAAAGAGGCTATCTTTCTTCCAGGGAACATGTTTGGCTGCTTTGTCAAAGATAAGATAGCTGAGTGTGTTTGTAGTTGTGTCTGCATCTTCTAATCTGTTTCATTGATCTTCAGGTCTGTTTTTGTGCCAGTAGCATGGTGGTTTTGTCACAGTAGCTTTGTAGTATAATTTCAAGTCAGGAATTGTGACACCTCTTGCCTTACCATTGTTGTCCAGGATTGCCTTTGCTATTTTAGGTTTCTTCTGGTTCAAGATAAATCTTAAAAATGTTATCTCTCCATCTGTGAGGTATAATAATGCTATTTTGATTGGAATTGCATTAAATCTGTATAACAATTTTGAGAATATGACTGTTTTCACAGTGTTGGTGCTTCCTATCCATGAGCGTGAATATCTTCCAATTTTCTGAAATCCTCTTCAATATTTTTTTTCAGAGTGCTGTAATTTTCATTGCCTAGATATTTACTTTTTTTTAGATTGAGTTCTAAGTATTTCAATTTGGGGGATGTTATTGTAAAGGTGTGGTTTCCCTAATTTCTCTCTCAGTGAGTTTGTTGTTTGTGTATAGGAATGTGATCAATTTTGGAGTATTGAGTTTGTATACTGTACATGACTGTATTTGGTTATTAATTCTAGTAGCCTTTTTGGTGGAGTTTTTGGGGTATTCTATGTAGAGTAGGATATCATCTTCAACTAATGATAATTTCACTTCTTTCTTTCCTATCCTTCATCCTTTTATTTCTCTCTCTTGTCTAATTGCTCTGGCTAATGTTTCCAGAACTATTTGGAATAGGAGTGGTGACAGTGGATATCCTTGTCTTGTTCTTGATTTTAGTGTGAAAGCTTTCAGTTTTTGGCCATTTAGTAAGATGTTGGCTGTTGGTCTGTCATAGATGGCTTCTATCAGATTGAGGTAAAGACCATCTATCCTGATTTTCTGTAAGGTTTTCATCATAAGTGTTGGACTTTTTCAAAAGCTTTTTCTGCACCTATTGAGATGATCATATTAATTTTGTCTTTGGCTCTGTTGATACTATATATTACATTTATTGATTTGTGTATATTGAGTAGTCCCTGCATTCCTGGGATGAATCCCACTTGGTCATGGTGTATAATTTTGATGATTTACTACGTGGTGTTTGCTAAAATCTTATTGAGGGTTTTTGCATCTATATTCATTAAGGAGATTGATCTATAGTTTCTTTTTTGTTTGGGTCATTCTCTGGTTTTGATATCAGGGTAGTACTTGCCTCCAGGAATGAGTTAGGGAAAATTGCTTTCCTTTCAATTTCATTACAGAGTTTGAGGAGGATGAGCCTTAAGTCTTTTCTATATTTCTTGTAGAATTCAGTGATGAATCCATCAGGACCTAGTCTTTTCATTGTTGATAACTTTTAAATTATGTTTTCACTTTCATTAACTGATATTGTATAATTCAGAATTTTAATATCCTCTTGATTCAGATTTAGTAATTCATACATTTCTAGAAATCTATCCATTTCTTTTGTGTTTTCCATCCTATGGGAGTAAAGGTTTTCAAAGTAGGTATTACTGATATACTAAATTTCCACAGGATCTGTAGTGATTTCAGCCTTTTCATTCCTTACTGCATGAATTTCAATTTTTTCTTTCTTTTTTTGATAATGTTGGCTAGGAGTTTATCAATTTTCTTTATTCTTTCCAAGAACCAACTGTTTGATTCATTAATTCTTTGTGTTGTTTTCTTAGTCTCTATTGTGTTAATTAATTTCTCCTCTGATCTTTATAATTTCCTGACTTCTTTGGGCTTTGGGCTTTTTCTGTGATGATCTTTGTGAATTTTGGTAATAGGTAGCTATATCACTAGTATCAAGGTTTTCCTAGGAAAAGTCTGTCCTTCAGGGATATCTTTTATGCATAGAAAATTCTTATTTGTGTCTGTCTCAAGATCCTACATTCCCACTGAATTGAGAGTGGAATGTTGGCTTCTGTTTGGCTCTGTCCCCAGTCTTTTGGTGTAGGGTCTGGTTAGGTTATCACCCCAGAGCTTCCCAATATTGTTACACAAGGAAGAACAACTGATTACAACAGATGTGACAGCAGTACAATTAGCAATAATGATAGCAGCAAGCACAATTTAGACATTGACAAACTGTGGTAACTTCTAGTTTTGTGCTTTAGATTTTAGAAGCAAAGTTTATAGTTATATAACAGAACCAACCTTACATTAGGAGTTTGTAAGCAAAGTATTTTCCCTTGTTGGAGTAGATTTACCAGGGTTGCTGTGTTTACAAGCCAGTTGCTGTGTTTTAGACACTTCTCATGCTGGCTACCCTTCCCGTAGAGTAGGGGGATGGGTGAAGTACCTAGTTTTCTCCAGAAAGAGTCTTCCATGATGGCAGAGGGGTGGTGGGTGGGGACACTACCCCTCCCCTAAACCAGAGTTAAATTGGGCTGCTGGGCCTGGCATGGGAAACTAGTCCTGGGCAGTAGTCTCCCACACATATTGTTTGGCACATATAAGCTTCACCTCTTCAATTGGAGCCACCGGACCTTCTTTGGGCCTCTGCCTTTCCAGCTTCTTGGGTTAGAGTGCTATGTCTTTGTCATGTGAGATCTTTCTGTATTGAAAAAGGATAAGAAAAAAGTGGAATGTCATCTGTCAACTGTACTAAAGCATTTCCTTGCTCTTACTTATCGGCAACTATCCCATGGAGGGTTCAGTACTACCTGGTCCATTGAAAAGCATTTGCCATTTTCTCTGCTCAGACTCTCACAATACCTTGACTTCTGTATAGCTGCTACTGTCTCTTCCCTATTTTTGAGCCTCCTTTTCCACTTCACATGCTCACTTTCTCATCAGTCTGGCTTTGAACAGTTCTGTCCGTTCTCTTCCTTACAGTTGACTCCTGAGCCAACATCTTTAAACTTGGCCTTTCTGACTCCAGCATTTCTAATTAACATCTAGATATTTCTTCCTTGCTAAACATATTCTGCCTACACTCAGCCACTGAAATAAAACATCTTGCTCTTTTAAAACAAGCATTACCTTCCAATACCCTTATTTCTGTTGGTGTAACAAAGGTGTGTGTATAGTCATGCAGTTGTACTTTGAACAAAAGCACGTGGCTGGAGTGTTAGTGAGAACTGAAACTACATTTGCATGTGATATTTTTAAGCACAGAGCTATGTCAGTCCTATTAAAAGCCTTTCACCACCTCCTCCATGCAGAGTGGACAACTTTGTCTAATTCACCAAAAGATGGCCCATAAATATAGTTGAAGGCCCTGAGGGTCCTCACCTTTTTTCCAAGTCACATATTTCAGAAACTCGTAGTCTCCATCTTTCTTCCCTTTTTCATTCTAAAATATATTATGCTGAGCTCAATGCTTTCTTTTCATCCACTCTACCAGGAGTCCAGTGCAGCCCAATGCTTTGTCTCTCTCTCTCTCTCTCTCTCTTTTTTTTTTTTTTTTTTTTGAGACATGGGCTCACTATGTAGTTCAGGCTGGCCTTGAACTCACTTATTTAGCCCAGGTTGGCCTCAAACTCACTTCAGTCCTCCTGCCTCAGCCTTCAGAGTGTTGAGATTACAAGCATCCATCACCACGCCCAGTCCAATGCTTTATCTCTGAATTATTTTCATTTCATTGTTTCTCATCCTCTGTGTTCTTTCTCAGCCAAGGATTTTCTTCCCTTAAAACACAAGTTTAGTTTATCTTTTCATTTAAGTGCTCAGAAACCTCAAGGACTCTCTAATGCCTATATGTCTTGGTTACTTTTCTCTCATTTCTGGGACAAAAAACCTGATGCCCAAAATTAAGGAAGGAAAGGTTTATTTTGCTTACAGTTTGTGGAGGTTTCAGTCCATACTTGGCAGATTACAAGGTAGACTGTCACATGGCAGAGAGCTATAGCTCATGGCGACAGAACACAGCAAAACAACAAGCACAAAAGCCAGCAATGGGGGAGGAATGGCCTCAAGCAGCCTCTTGCTCTCCCTTACATATGCAAACTATCCACCCCAGGGCAGGTGCAGCTCTCACACCCATAATCAATCAAACTCTAAAAGCCTGCCCCATGACCACATGAGGCTTTGGGGGGACACCCAGACACAAACCATAACACTATATTATCAATTAAAAGCTCCTTGGCCTGTCATTTTTCAACTGGTCATGTTCTAAAATATTTATGGTACCTAGTACCTTGCAAACACTGAGTAAATATTTATCAACTCATTAAATTTAAAATATTATAAAATAATATTCCCAAGGCTCACTGCCCACCTAAGTCCAACTAAAATCCCTTGTACTTACGTTAGGCATCATGAGCTGCATATGCATACAGAACCCATCCTTAACTGTGTCCTCTGCAGAGCCTTGATGTTGCTGATGCATTCACCTTGGGAATTATCCACACCCAGTCCCAACAGACCACTCCTGGACCTCCTCCCCATAGACTGCTTGTCCTGTACCGGAACAAATTTTCCATTTATTGTGGCTCCTGTATCATGTTCTATTCTTGTGTTATTCACCCTTGGCTTAATTCCTCCTACTAGATGTTAAGCATTTGGAAATTATAAATATTTTATTACTTGTCTCTGCCTCCTTCTGAGCTCCAGGTTTAAGAAGAAATATGTGCACAGTCATCACTGTGTTACACATGTACCAAAAGACAGGCTGACCAGTCATTTGACTTTTCAGGGAAGAGGTACTGTCACCTACAAAAGAAAAAGAACAATAATTGAATGTTTATTTAAGAGATTTGTTTTTAATTGTTTTCTGACAGCAGCTAGACCATCAGAATACATTTTGTATCACTGAGTTTAATGTACAAAATATAAAATGGAAGTATCTTATTCTTATGTTTTTATAGGAAGATGCTGAATTCCAGGAGCATGAAAAGATTCTGTCTCCAGATTTTCTTTCAACTGTGCAAATCACTGATTTACTAACAGAGAATGTAGATGGAATTCAAGAGTAAGTACTTCAGTATTAACCATCAGACATAGATCAGTTCTAATTCATTTATAAATGAACATGATATACTATTGTACATGTTAAGCTTTTTTATCATGCACTGAAATATATCCAACTCTGGAACACAAAATTGAAAAATAACTGACTTTTTGCACTGCTTGGCAGTCTTCTTAATGGGAGAAATACACTGAAAACAAACTTGTTCATACTAACTAAGAGTACAAATATATTGTCAAAGCAGCTTCTAGCGTATGGCATCTTCTTTTTCTCTTCTCTTTCATTCATAAAACTGCCAAAATGCAAAAAACATTAAGTGCTGTTTTCTGTATCATGAATAGCTGAAGCATTTTATTATTTTGTAAATCCTGGATATTGGTCATAAACCTGTGACTTTGATCAGAAATACTAAATACTCTTGATTGCATATATGTTGCTTAGCAATATAACTGAATTTATAGGAAATAATTCTAAAATATGTACATCTCACTTTTTAGGCCACTTATTTCTCAGTATATCATTTATGTAGAACATAAACATAATGTAGAACATTAGTCAGATATACTATACAACACAATTTCCTGAATGTTGTTTCTAATAATCACCCATTTTAAAATTTATCTCACTTTATAATGAAAGCCTGATTGGCCATAATGTGAGGAGAAGAGGAATGGTGGAGGGGCAGGACCATAGTGTCCTGATGTTTTGTCTCTGCGGTCCAGTCCTCATGACACAAGACAGTGTCCTGCGCCATAATGGACAGAAAGAAAATGACTCTGTCAACAGTTATGATTGGCAAAACTTACAAATACTGTGTAAAGAGCCAATTTATTACTGAGAAGGAAATAAGACAGATGTACTGGCTAGGGGAGAAGTCTGAGAAGAACAAGTTTTTTTAAGAACAAGAGCATAACACTAGCAAGCCTTTACCCAAGATGCTGTTCACCCCCAGCTCTTGCAAATTGCGAGGGCCTGCTGACCTGTGATTTGGCCACACTGCTGGGGGACTGGATCTTAGGTGGTGAATTAAAATTTCCAGTTTTTAACCGAGCATCTCATGACAATTTTATCATTTTTTATAAAAAATGAATGTTTACTGGGAAATCTGTTTCTAGGTATGAGAACTGATAAAAATGCATTTATGATGTTGACAACACTGACTCTCCTTTCTCCTTAGTTCCATGCATTTTTATGTAAAATATTTTCCATTTCCAGGTACCCCAAGTGCTTTTGATCATTGCTATGCAAAACAATAGGTAGTTAATAGTAGGCAAACATAATACAACTCAAATGATATATATTTAATACAATGTACATTTTATTTTTATTGAGTATTTAATTAAAAAGTCACATTAAATCAAGTAAAATTAAAGATGATGTTGCTCTTTAGAGTTATTTCTTACCATATTATAAGTTATTCTGTATATTGTACTTTATGTGACAATATATTTTTCAGTTACTGACTCCCTTTTGCTGTTACATACATGAACTGTGAAAAGATTTTTAATCTTTAGGGGAAGTGAGATCTAACACAAAGTAAATGATACAGAAGGTCATAGAGAAATTAGTTGGGTTCAATAGCAGTTTGGTCTATTTAAACTACCTCATTAATATAATCAATGTCATCTCATTCTTGAATAAGGTCAATATTATCTTAGGAGTCATTTCTTTATAATTTTTGTGGTACTTTTTAATGGTGTTTTTAACCAGTAATCCTGAAATATTTGCAGTATTTCAAATTGCATTATTATAAATAGGAATTATATACTTTTTAAAATGATAGAAATATTTAGGTACCTTATGACTAACATAACTATGCTAAAATTATACCATATACAAAAGTATATGCCTATTTAATTATAAGACATCAATACATTTTCCCACCTTTTTAAATTAAGAGTTGCTCTTTATGAAAGCAGCCAATCAAATGAAACATCAAAGTATTATTAGACATATTTTTGAAATACACTTTAAGCAATTAAATATCTGAGTACATTTCTCATTGTCTCTTACCTCCTATCACCAATTTTTAAAATGCAATTCCAGCTTTATCTACAGATCCTGCCAAAATCCTTTTTTATAAAAGTAGGAACTACATTAAAAATAACTTTAGATGTCAGAGGCCGTGATACATACCTGTAATCCCAGCAGTCAGGAAGCTGAGACTGGAGACAGGTGTTCAAGACCAGAGTAGGTTACATACTGAGTTCAGGGCCAACCTGGACTCCATAGCAAGACTTGGTCTCAAAATAAATGAATATATACATACATAGATACATACATAAATAAAATGACTTTGTAAACATAGAAATAGCTCCAAGACATCTTGTAATGACCTTTGTATGCATGGGCCTCTATGAGCTGATTAACTGTTGCTTTTAAGTTTCTGTCTTCTTGCCATCATGTAGAAATGAAACATGCTCCATTTCATGAACACGTAGGAATAACACAATGATGGTTTTACTGAAATTTTGTCTTACACTATAGCATGGCCTTCTCTCTTATGTCTCCTGTTCCATCTTCCTTTATATCCAAAATAAAAGCTTAAAAAATTGTCACAAACTACAGGGAGAGTTGACATTCAAATTTGAACAGTGTTTTGCTTCACATGATTCCTTTCATAAGCTGCTTTAGAGAAAAATAACTGAACAAAGAGCCGAAATAAATATTCAGCCCCACAGTTCAAGTTAAAAGGGAAGATTCAAATGGTACGAGGAAAAGAGAGAGTTCAAGGAGGGGTTTTGAGAATAGGTAAGGTGGTGGGAGATCAAAGAGATTTTGCCAAAAGATACTCAGAAAAGTAGTTGCCTTCACTCAAATAAAAATAGAAAGCAAAGACATATGCAAAAATTGAGGTCAAATATTTAATTAACAAAACACAACATGCAGATGGCAAATGAAGAGAAAGTAGAAAAGCAAACTCTAGAATCAGAAGAAAACATTAGGCAAAAGTTGATGATCGAAGAGGACATCAGTTCTGCAAAACCAGAAGTTAAAGATTAAATGATAAAATATGTAAACAAGAAACTTTTATAACTGAAGCAAGGAACTAAGAGTAAATAACAAAACTAATGTAGAACTGGTGTTACACAAAGTCACGTCAGTAATGATGGAAAACAAATTTAAGAAAATGTAAAACTGTATAGTAAAGCAATTACACTGGAATATGCACCTGCATAATGAATTAAAAAAAAATTAAATCTTATAAAACAGTGCTTTGATGTTAATATATTAGCAGGATAAAAGTTATGTATCATCTCATATCTGGGATAAAGACACCCAAAGAGGAATAGACCCTAGACTTTCCTTTAACAATTCTAGGCAGGAAAAATCAACAGGCTGACAAGTCACTAAATTTAGGAAGTAAAAAGAATATGACTCCAGTATAAAACACTACTTTAGGTTGTTGTTTAATTATGGTGACAAGGGCTGGGGATTTAGCTCAGCCTCACAGCGCCTGCCTGGCAAGTGTGAGGTTGTGAGTTCGATTCCTGGTACCAAAAAAAAAAAAAGAGCTAGTCCTAATTATGATGACAATACATTGTAAAATAAGCAACAACTCACAAAACATAATATCCATATGGCTTTATAGAAAAATATACCTCTTAGCCCAAATGGAATATGAATCAATTCTTTGGTGACTTTAAAATAACAATAACAAAGAAACTGCTAATGATAAACTGTATTATAAAAAGACTGGTATTTAACATGTGACTCATTTAAAATTAAAATAAGACCTAACGTGATAATAATAAACTGAACCAACTATTCTAGAACATCTAATGAAGATAGTGTACATATGAGAAAAAAAGAGTAACCTCATTTCCTCCTCTCATCAAAATGAAATTCACTTTGGGAGTGCTTCTTCAAAATTTCATCACACATGTAAAGTGTTAATATCCCTAAGCATGCAAAAAAACTCATAAATTCATAAGAAAAAAAGCAACCAAAAGAACACATTCAAAATGAATATAATGTAACAAAGAGGCAAAAAATACGACAGTGATTTTATAATAAATTAATAGATATTGAAATCATGAGCTAAATCCAGACTGCATTGGAATATGAAAAATCAGACCTTTTAGTATGGTATTCTTAGAAGACTAATTTGGCACTGCATATTTTTGGCACTGCGTATGGTTTTAGCAGGGAAGTTTCACAGTACATTTCACCATATCAAATACAACCCAGCAATCCTAATTTTAAAATTTGTTTTCTTCTTTTACAAAAGATCACTGGCTTTTTAGAAAAAGTCTTAAATCATTTTTCCTTATTTTAGGTTCTTAACCAGTGGAGGGCAATGAAGCCCACTGCCCATTTAGGAACATAGAGTCCCAAGACATTTTCATCATTACTTAGAGCTCTGTTTTCTTAAAAGACCTGTGAATGTATGCAGATCTTCTGCTTCCTTCTAGAATACTAATTTTTTTTTTAGTTATAGTCATTGCAAACTTTTTCCCAGTCTGCAGCTTGTCTTTGCAATTTTATTATTTTGTCTTTCACCATCCAGACATGTTTTGTCTGCTTAAGTACAGATCAATTTATTGACCTTTCACTCTATGATTAGCATTTCTGGCTTCATGTTTGAGAAATTTTGGCTTACTCAGATGTCACAATATATTTTTTATTTAAAAGTTTGCATTATTTGCCGTTAACATTTAAATATTTAACCCACCTGGATTTTATTACATTGTATAATTTTCATACGGATTGTCCCAGCACCAGAGCACAAACTTTCCTCACTGATTTGAAATATACTACTTCTGAGGGCTTCCGGCGCACAGGAAGCCACAGGTGGGGAGCGCCAGTCTTCCGGCTGGCTAGCTTCCTGCCTGGTGGCTCCCGGAGGGTGAGCCCCCAGTGCATGGGGAGCCTCGGGCAGGGAGCGCCGGTCTTCGGACAGGCGGCTCACTCCCGGCCTCGTCGTTCCCCGGAAGGAGGGCTTCCGGCGCACAGGGAGCCACGGGTGGGGAGCGCCAGTCTTCCAGCTGGCTAGCTTCCTGCCTGGTGGCTCCCAGAGGGTGGGCCTCCTTATGGGGAGCCATGTGGTGGTGAGTGCTGTTGCACGCTGGCCCTTAGGCCGGCTGCTGCCACTCAATTGAGATCATGACACAGAGAAACAGTGACACAACTGGCCAATTGCGGTTGCCACCCACGATGTGTGTGAATCATTGAAACTTTGAACAACCCCTGGGAATACAACGGGCCATACAACGGGCCACTCTTGCTCCTGCCATTGGGAACCAGAAAGGTCCAGAGCCATCGGAGGAGCAGCTGCTGAACAAGGACTCAGAGAACATGAGAATGCAGACTAAGCCCACGGAGTCAGAGGCCCAGTGGACTGGGGTCATGAGAGCCGCTCGGAAGCAGTAAACCAGGAGGACCTTGCACAATACCTGCAGAGACTCATTGGAAGCCATTCTTCCCCTGACAGTACAGGCTGTGGTGGAGCTCTGGAGAAGTCTGCAACAGGATTCCTGCTGCCTGTGCTGACAGTTGGGGAGAGGACACTAACTGGTTGTGGGGTCCCAAAGCAATGGGAAGCTGGAGAGAAAAAGCTACAAAGAATGGCTTTCACCCCAGATAGCTCACTTGAGATGTTAGTAAGAATTGCCTCCTCAGTATTCTATAGCCATGATGAGGAGGAGGCCAAGGAGAGAAAACAAAGAGCCAAGAAAAAGCAGCTGTTTTTGCTGCACCACTAAGAGAAACAGTTCCCAGGTCTGATTCCCGGGGCCCCAAGAAGAACTCGACAACTGCATTCATGTGCTACTACTGTTAAAAGCCAGGCCACCTCAAGAGGAACTGCCCTAAGCGGCCCCATGGGCCATGCCCTGGATGCAAAGGAGACCACTGGAGATCGGTCTGCCCTCTGAGGTGAAGGCCCCAGAGCTCAGACCCATGCTACCAGTTAGTCCAACAGGAATGAGAGGGCTTGGGGCATGGTCTGCCTTCTCCCTCTGGCCAGACGGTCATCTCCATCGAGGAGTCCTGGGTAATCATGACTATGGAGGAACAAGAAAACAGCCTGTTGCTAGACACAGGTGCAAGTCTCTCGGTCCTTCTTTTCAATCCTGGCCTTCCTTCCAGCCATCATACCTCAGTGAAAGGAGTCACTGGTGAGGAGGTAATATGCTATTTTTGACAACCCTTAGGCTGTAACTACTTATTAGATCCTTCTTGCATATCTCTGTCTTCCTGAGAAACCACTTTGAAGATACCACCATGTATTACAGCAGCCATTGATATTTTCCTACTAATCTATCCATAACTGTGTAAAGTTTGTAATGTTCCTATCCTATTTCATAAATGGATGTATGTTTATTATTATGTGTTTCCTACAACAACCATTGAGAATAGTTAATGATTTTTCAATAGGTCACTCATGTATAGCTCTATTTATTTTCTTTAGAAGCCACTTTGAAGATACCAAAGTATAGTACAACAACTCTTGATAATCTCCTACCTCTTTTTTCTCTAACTCACTATTATTTGTCTATTTGTTTTCCTGAGAAACTATTTTGTAGATAACAATATGTAAAACGATAACCATTGATAATATCCTACCATTTTGTCTGTAATTTGCTAAGTCCCCCCTATTATTATGTTATCCTTCTTTTACTCTTTAAAATGAAATATACTACTTCTGTCATGTATCAGGCACACATGGACATTTGGTCTGTTTCTGCAGTCTGCACCTGATCCCTTGGCCTCTTAAGACTAGATGATGGTGTATATTACTCAAATAAACAGTGCTGAAAAAAGTTTAATGCAAAGTACACAAACCTCATTCCCACCACCACCAGTGTCTTTCCAAATCTGCATCTAACTACTGAGTTGCATGCTTGATGAAATGTATCAGAAGGTATAGTCATATATAATATATAAAGTTGATTATATTGATTTTAAAAGTAAAATACATCACACAGAGATGATATATTCATATATGAATATATATCGATAAATATATCTATAAATATGCTGTATATCATTCATATGTATTTTATATATACATTATATATATATATATGGATTTGACTCACATTTGGAAGTTAACCTATCTCTGGATATCCTACTTTGTGATATTATATAATGGTTATAAGATAACTGTCAACAATTGAAGGTACTTATTTACTTATTAATATTCGTTCACCAAAAGAAAAGAAACTTCATCTTTAGGAATTAATGAAATAATCTAGGGAAATGTCCACCATAAAAAAATAATACGGAGATGTTTCACATACTGAATGGCATTATGGGAAAGAGGGTGAGATTGAAGTGGTTCCTTACAATAATTAGAACTCACTGTAGAGCTTGACATTTGCTCTATACCACTGAACATGAAGCAGACATCAGAAAGTCTAGCACATTATCAGTATCAGCTTTATTTACTTTCATACTTGCTTAATTGATTCTGTTATATTATTCTAATTATGTGATTTGTTTTATTATTATGAATGATTAGGGCTACTCTTTTTTAAAATAACAGCATTAAGTTCTCACACACATATTGCCCCCATTCCTCAAGAAATCTCATATAAGCAAGGAGGAAATACTAAACTTACCCTCATCAAAACAAGGAGAATGCTGAAAGCCTAAACCACAAAATATGAAGATGATGGCCACAATCTTTATAGTTCCACAAGTGCAAGAGAAAATAAAAAGAAGAAGCACATAGTTGCAGATTTTAGAATGAGTTAAAATACTCTCTCATCACAATAGCAGGATCAGGGTGTACAGATTTGGAGCAGTTACTTCCTGTAACACAGGAAGTGGCCTGTTTATATGGTAGTAAAAATAACCTACCCATACTTGTTCTTCTTTTACCCCACTTTCTAAAAAAAAGCAAATGTTAGAGAAATTGACAGAAAGTTACTTTAAACAGGAAATGCTGACTGTTTTGTAAAACAGCCAGGTCTCCACCTCCACTATACATCCTGAAAGTAGCTATCCAAAGACGAAATTTCACTTCGTTAAAAAAAAAAGTAACAAAGAAAGAATAAACATCTAAAGTATTGCAATAAAGAATAAAAGGAAAGGAATAGCAAAGAGAAATAGCAGATAAAGAAAATGCACCAGAAAGATACAGCTATGAACAGACAAAAAATGTGATAAAATATTTTATCATGAATTTTAAGCTTTGAAGCAATCATAAGAACATAAAACAGAAATATAAAAGCTCAAGGAAGAGGTAACAAAAAATACAAGGTCATAAAACAGTTTAAAGGAAAGATCTTACAGGATTTGAGATAAAATTTATAGCATTCCCAAGAAGAAATGACTGCCAGACACACCTGACATACCAAGAAGACAATAGTAAGAAGTATACAAAATAGAAAAGGAAATATGCTGAAAAAACTTAAATGTTAAAGTGAAAAATTATAGCTTGAGATCAAATTAATAAAACATGCATAACTGGATTCTTTTAAAAAAGAAAATAGGATGGAATATTTAACAATCCAGTATAAGAACATTTTCAGAAATAAAACAAATGTAATTGTACAAAAGGAAAGGGATACTGAATTGCAGAGGGAAAAATATTACACATTAAAGACATTAAAAAATTGGAGGAGGAGAACGAGAATTAGAAAATAACAAGGAAGAAAGGAAATAAAAATAGAGCTCTCGCTATCTCTGTTTCTCTTTTGAATGTCACTTTAAGCTTATGGATTCAGGTATAACTGAACACTTTTATGTTGTAAGAATTAGCGAATTTTCACTCAAGAAAAATACTGATTTTCAAAGCTAAAGGAATGGTTCAGTATTTAATCTGATTTCATGTCTGCATATTTCTTTTTGTTACAGAAAACTGAGAATGTTTTTGAATTTCAAAAACCTTCAAACTTGTTTAAAGGATGCCATTCTATTAGATTACTATGTGTCTGGATTTTTGTGGGCCAAAGGAATGGACTTTTCTATCACTCAGTGTTCAAAATTTATGACTTTACTAAATATGTTACTTCATAATCTTAAAAGTAAGTACATTATTTTTCTTTTCTTTAAGAAAAGGAAATTCATTTTACCATATAAATTGATGTTTTTAAGCCAAAGTTTCTGATTTTATTGCAGCTCTTTTGTATTTGTCAGTTTCCCATAACAGACACACATGATTTAAAGAGGATTAATTTGGCTCACAGTTTGCGGGTCTCAGTTCATGGTCGGCGGACTGTGAGGCAGTAATGCATGGTAGAAGAGCCAGGCAGAAGAATGCTGCTCACCACATGGCAGCCAGGCAGCAGAGAGAGAAGGGAAGAGCTGGGGACAAGAATGCACCCTTCCAGGACACTTTCCCAGTGACCCACCTCATTGTACTGGGCCACACCCCCTCACAACACATGAACTCATCAGCGGATTACGCATGAAGGAATATTGCACCTCAATGATCCAGTTACCTCCTAAAGGCCCAACCTCTGAACACATGAGGCTTTGGGGGACATTTTATATCTAAACCATACATCATTCAATGAAAACTAGTCTTTCTTTCTGATTATAGCAAAGTTACAGTTTATGCTTCATTGAATTGTAAAACCTCAGGTAATACTTAGCACAACTAAAGTTCTCAAAATAATTAATTTGCCAAGATATGTTATTGTCATTTGGAAGTCTTCCTGTCACCCATCCAAAATATCTGGAGACTCATAGTCTTCTAGCCTGTCTATATATCTAAAACCATGCTGCAATTTAAAGGACATCAGTAGTTATTTAACCTGTGCTTATCATTATATGTAATGCTGTGCAGCGACAAAAAGGAAAGAATGAGAAAGCTTTCTACGTACTACTGTATTATGTAGAAGACTATATTCTTATTGAGTAAAAGCTAAGTGGACCATTGTGTGCTTTCATTTATAAAAGGGACAAAATAAGAATATGTTTTCATTTGTGTATATACACACATTCTAGAATACAGAAAAAAGCTGATAATCAAAATTGTCGGTGGGGAAGAGTAGTAAAAAGTGGGCACATTGTTCACAAAGATTGGAAAAAGTCTTTTTGTAATACATACACATATAAAGATAGATACATAGATAGATACATAGATAGATCACCTATGTAAAAGGTAAATTTTAAAAGAAAATATATGACATTGCAGTTTGAAGCTTTGCAGCCTTTGAGTACAGTAATCATAAACTAGAAAGAGAATAAAAGGAAGTAAAAATTTTCATGGATCCCACATTCAAAATTTGAGACAATATTCTCACTTTAAATCTTGTCTATACCTTATAACTGATTAAAGAATATTTCTTTTAGGTGAAACTTTATTCTGTTTGGTGTCAGTTCAAACATTAATTTCTAAAACTTGTGCAGGATCCATCTCACCACTCCTAAACCATGAGAGAGTAGAAGTGCAGATATAGAACCAGACGAAACAGCAGGAAATTTAATTTTTCCTTCTGGCCTTTCAAACCTTTAAACCTAAAAAGGCTAGAGACATCATCAGGAAACAATGTAATCTTCATATGTCTACATATTAAAGGAAGCAAAATATATTCGCACCTAACTGGAGAGGCATTAGAGTCCTAGGGACATGGGTGTCCCTTCCATTCAGCCACCACTTTGTAGAGAAAGGTCCAGAAAGCACAGTCCAGGTTGAGTTCATGTGGCCCATCCAGTATGTAAACACATCCCCCTGTGTTTCAGATCTCATCCTTGTCTCAAAATTGTGCTGCATATCTCCACCCCACCTAGAGTGAAACTGGGTCAATCTAAAGGACTGTGGAACTGAAGCTTTGCAGAGTTATCTTAACAGCAGACTCTTTGTGTAGTCACAAACCCAGGATAGAAAATAGTTTTTAAAAATTCTGTCCATATTGAACATAGATTTTTTTCCTTGTCATAATTCCCCAAACAATACAGTATTCACAACTATTTGCCTAGCCTTTGCATTGTATTAGGTATTATAAGTAATCTAGAGATAATTTAAAGTATATAGGAAAATGTATATAGGTTACATGCAAATTCTATGCCATTTTATACAAGGAACTTGAGTATCAGTAAATTTCAGTGTCCTCGGGAAAGCCCGGGAACTGATGCTTTCTGGATGCTGAGGAACAACTGTATACATTTTGCTGCCTTGTTTTTCTAGGGTCTAAGGAAAGGCAAGTTGTAGCATATGGATATTTGACTTTTATCCAGGTCTATAGACCTACGTTGACTCTCATGTATATAACGTATAGTAAGTAACTATAGAATCCTTTCTAATTCCTATGGGGCTAACCTAAATTCCTTTTCCTCAAAAGAAGAATAATAAAAACAGCAGTTACATAGGATGAACTTGTGCCAAACACAGTGCTAGCTGCTTTAGAAATAATGCCTTACTCAACTCACACACAACCTTCTGAGACAAACGAATAAGGATCTGAGGGGTTACATAACTCAGCCTCAGCAAATGAGAGTTTATCTTCCTCTTAAACCAAACATGCCTGGCTGTGGGCCGAATTCCTGAAAGCACTAAACACGTGTACTGTACTGCCACAGAAGGTACATCTTTTCAGTTACCAAGTGTTCGCTATACATTTCTTATTCAATTGTCACAATAGCACTATCATTTTGAAAATAGGTATTATTCTCATTTTATAGATAAAGAAATGAGTTTCAGGTCATCTAGCTAGTGTTATGAGATACAGTACAACATAAGTTTTCCGACTAATTATAAATCTCATATGTTCATTACCCTAGATTTTCAAGAATAAATTTTATTTCTAAGAGCCTTACTATTTAAGTGTTTAATCTTTCATATTTTAATCATATCACTAAATGTGATTTTTATACGAGCAAATATTTCAGTTAGATAAGTAAGATGATAAATTCCCCAATTTTCAAAGCAATTATCTATGGAAAGACATCAGACATAGAAAAAACAGTTCTAAAGAGTCAGTTATTTTTCAACATAAGGAAATAGTCTTATGAACGCATTTTTGTATTTGATAAGTATAATTTGGTCTTGAATTATAATCGGTTATCTGAGAATGTCTTTTTTCTCTGCCTCTCTGATACCATTTCATTAATAAAGTGATTCAAAGTTTCCATTCATTCATGAGTTGCTCTTATTCCAGCAGATTTTTCAATTCTGAAGTTATTTTCACCACTTTCAAAAGAGTTTATCATGGAAAAAGAAATGTATATGTGAGCTGAGTTCCTCTTAGGGTGATATGGGAAAGCCTACTCACCCACAGCTGTTGAGTGCATCTGATACATGCCCAAGACGAGCCAGAGGGGGCTGTGAGAAATAGGCCAATTGTGATTTATTAAACCAGACTTTCATTGTTATCTAGTTTTATGCTTCTTTTTATTTTCTACAAGGAGGAAGGAGTCTCCACAAATTGCAATTGAGTGCTCAGAATGTTTTTTCTTTAATTTTTAGATTACAATCATTTCATTGGTAATTTTTATATTTGAGGATTTAGCATTTACATCCCAGAAAGAGTAGCTGTCTAATTCAGAAATGATTGCATCCACCAATCAGTGTATCTCTTGTCTGTCTCCATACACCCACCAAGCCCCTTCTGGTACGAAAAGAACATTTATTGAGAGTTTCCAGGTAAAATTCCCTCCCATCCCTCATGCAGGCCCTCCGCTGATAACCACCTCCCCTGAACAGCCAGCCTAGCCTTGGTTTATCCAGAACCTTTCAACTCTCCTACTCCTGCCTCCTTGGCCTTTTGTCCAGACACTCAGTACTGTCAAATTATAAAAGACCCCTGTGGACGCTGCAGTTACCTAGATCAGCCTCCAAGGGTGTAGGGGAGTGTATGTAGATGAATCGTAAACACTGTTTTGCCTGTCACTGCTAAAACCAAGCATGATATGACCACTAGAAGGTAATATTTTTACTATTATAAACACTCTAAATTTGTCCTTATTTTTAAACTGGGGATTGAACCTAGGGACTTCATACTGGGCTACATCCCAGCCCTCTTCAAAAAAGTGTTTTAAAGAAAGCTAGCAATCTTATACTAAAACCTGTGGAAATGTTAATCTGATGTTATTACTTACTACATCTAAACAAACACAGTCCAACAAGGTAAGGCATATCATCAACTCCAGTCCCCTGTTCAAACAGAAGCCTCTGAAAAAAGAAAAAAAGGTACCCTCATGTGCCGCAACATAAAAATTGGAATACCAAGTCTATACGTAGTCTGCTCATATCCTGTGCTTTGTATTAACTTCGGTCTCAGAATAAAACTTGCTTGTTAACCTTATCACTCTACTTTGTATTAGGTTATCGTAACTTTTTGGTTTTGCTTTGTTTTCTGAAGAAGAATCTCATGATACAGTCCAAGCTTAATTCCTCTTCCCTCAGCCACAGAGTCTCAGGATCACAGGCAGACTTGTACCACTGCGCCTAGTAGTGATTTTCCTTCTTCTATGTATCAAACCTCCCATCAAACAATGAGTTCTGGGTTGCAAAAGAGGACTGATTTTTTGTACCTGTTCATTAAGTTACATTTTTATTTTGAGACAGAGTTGCATCAGGTTCCCCAGGCTGGGCTCAAATGTGTGATCCACCTGCCTCAGCCTCCCAAGGGGCTGGTATTGCAGATGCACACCAACATGCGTGGCTTTTTTGTACATTTATCTACTTCTTTCTCAACTGAACAAATGTCACAGAAGATAGTTCAGACTGTTTGATTTGTTGGTCGCTGTCAGAGAGTGGACTGATAGCCTTTTCTGGGAAATGGTCATGAAGTTGTATCACTGTTTTGCCTTTTTTCCTGCACCAGCCTTCCTAAGGATGCACTTGGAAATAGCTTACCTGCATTCTGAGTCTCCAGCTGTGGATGAGGAAAAGATATCTCTGCATAAAAACCCATCTAGCTGGCTTCTATTGAACATCTTTCAGTCCAGATTCTCACATAGGTATAGTTCTCAGCTGTCATAGTAACTCCATTCATGTACCTTTTCAGCTCCAAGTTTAGGTCTGAGCTCTGCAGTGACTGAACTTACTACCATCGGAGCTTTCCCCACTAGCTAAATCCACTCCCTTTGTGTAATCCTATGTATCCTTTTTTCTAAGATTTCCTTTGAAAAATTATCCTTTTCATTCTAAAAAATCTTTAGACAGATTTTGATTTTTTTGTTGTTTCTTGGTTTTGCAGTAGGGGAGGCAGTACTGGGAACTGAACCCAGAGCCTTAGCCCTGAGCTACATCCCCACCCTTTTCTTCCACTTTTTATTTTAAGATAAGGTTTCACTAAATTGCTAAGTTTCTCAGGTTGGGATTCTCCTGTTTCAGCTTCCTAGAGTGCAGTGCTAGAATTACAGGTGTGCAAAAAAAAAAAAAAAGAATTACAGGTGTGCCCCCATCTCACTGATTTTTTTTCTTTTTGTACTGTACAATGGAAACACAAACTCCTTGAATAATTGTGAATTATAGTGATTTATAATTGTTGGATGTCTCAGAAAAATTAACATTTTTTCTAATTTATTAGAAGAAAATAAGAATTTTGTCATTTGTCCTCACAAATGCTGACCAGGATAAATTTCTGACACTTTTAAGACATATTGGACTATTTTGCTCTCAACATTTGTCTGGATTTCTTTCTAGCACTACATATGTCCTTAGAGGACAACATAAAGTGGCTTGGGGAAGTGATGGCTGAAATCGGACCAAACCATTCTCAAAGAATTCACGAATGGAACATCTTTGATGTAAAGCGAGCCAATGCTATTGTTGATTACTTAAAAATCAGGTATGAATCGTTTTCAGTAGGAATTGTTTTTTATTTTGTGTCTTTTAGAAAGTGTCTTATAAATTTAAATTCAGTTTTAAGCAAAATCAGATGTTCCCAACCTTTATATGGCAGGTAAATCAGTCAGTAAACATGATCTTCAAATCTTTCATCAAATAAATAAAAATCAGTTCATTGAATGGTTTGGCTAATGATGCATTCCTAAAAGTGTCTTGTGTTTGAGAAATAAAATTTCATCTAGAGTTACAATAAATTACATAAGAGTTTCCCTTTCTCTGAATCTTTACTACCATTTTATTAATAAAATGATATTTTATGATTAAATAGACTTAATTACAATAGGATCTATGTTTTAGGTAGCTGACTTCCCAAATACCTCATTTTACATTTTAAAAAACAGCACTCATTTCCACTTTAATGTTTATTTTAAATATTTTGTACTAGAAATGGAAGAACTCTATGTATTTTATGAAATTTATTGCCCACATGTTCTGTACTATTGACCAAACAAACTGATTAGAGCTCTTTCTACTTAGAAAAGGGTGGTGGTTTGAGGGAAAGTGTTTTTATTACAGTGGTTCTTCACCGGTGAAGTAAGAAAGTTATCTTCTTATATAGTCTTTCACAAGTCTGCCTTAGAGTCATGCATCTCTCCAAAGGGACATTTTCAGAATTTGCAAACATTCAAATTAGAGTTGTAAATTTCTTTTGCCAAACTAAAGTTTCTGCACAGTATCTTTGTTCCTCTTATGCTGCATACTGCAATATTTTCCAACGTTAAAAATTAACATTGTAAAATAAAGAGTGCCAAATCATATCCCAGCCACGCTCATAATTTGCTTGGCAAGGACTGTGGTTGTCGTTGGGAAGCTTTATAAATATTAGTGTGTTTAAAGTGATAAAGTGTATACACTGGTTTCTGGCATGAATTAATAATAGCATATGATAAAATATGCTTTTACATAATGATATTTGATACAATGTGATTTCCTAATATAAAAGCATTCCTCCTAATGAGTGATTCTCACTAAAAGACAGTCATTGTCATCAGTTGGAGTAAGATAAAGAACTTGTGGGTGGGGAGAGAAGGGGCTGGAAATTTGTAATTTGATAAGAACCTGTGCCTTCCTGTCTTTCTACCCTTCAGAGCTTGAGAATGACAGGCAAGAGAATTTTACCCTGCACATTTGTATTAGCACCCTTCTGTGCTTCTCCCTGTTTTTTGAACATGCCAACTTGCTCTTACAAAATATATTTTTACAGCTGAGCTCTAAGCCCAGGAGGCTTATAATGGGCACTGTACCAACAGTTAACCATAGCAGCAAAAGCCACAAAGGCCCCATGATGATACTTTCTGGACAATGAAGAATGGCCTGTCCTCCCCCACTGACCTATCTCTAGGCAAATGTTCATCAACGTATTTTTAACATTTTCTCCAGAAGGTGGTTAACTTAGATTATAACCAGGGTAACTTCACATATCAAAAATCTCTAAAAGTCCTCTAAGCCTCAGGCTCTGGAAGGCTGAGGAGGACTGAAACTTCAAGCCTAGCCTGGGCAATTTAGCAAATTAATGAGAACATATCTCAAAATAAAAAATAAAAAGGGCTGGGCGTGAAGCTCAGGACTGAGGCCTTTGGTTCAGTTTAATCCCCACTATCACAAAAAACCCAAATAATAAAGAAAAACTGTAAAAGTAATATTTAAGAGATGAATCAAATGAAGTAAATCAGAACTACTTTTAGTATCCTTCAATCTTCATGTTGTGATTTTTGAAGAAATTATGCATTTTAAATATCCCTGTTACAGAAAGATGTCAGTAGGATACTTGGGATTGATACTGAAATTGTATGTAGGGAAATGTGCTCTACTACAACACCTGTTCAGCAGGTCTCATAGGTCCATAGATGTAAGTGTAGTAGCAGTTAAATCATAGAATACATTCTTTTGGATGACTACAAAGCAGTTTTGTAAATAAGAAGGTAACTCAATTATCAGAAGTATAAATGTGTTTTAATTTAATCTGATATTAAACTTATCTGACCACTCAAAGCCTTAATCAATTTAGGGAGAACTATTTGTAGAACATGACTTGTAGACCATGAAACTTAACTTGACAGTAAATTAAACTTCACTGTTATTCTTAATGTTCAAATTGTGTATTCTGTGATATGTCTATGATTTGAAAACTAATACCAAGATTTCTCTCCCACAATACTGTGACTATTGGGAAATTTACACATATAATACATACAATTGTACATGATTGTTGTATACAAGTATAAATATAAATATTATTTAGTTTTTTAATATAAACATCCCTTACATATACATCAGGTTCAAGTATACTTTTTTGTTGTGTGATCTCCCTGTTTCCTGGGAACAGGGCAGAACTACTATGTGCAGGTATATACCCAGTATAAATATCAGTCCCATTCCTCTGTGTACACCAGGGTGTTGCAGTTCCTGGGATGAGTCCAGATATCTTGACTCATTTCCATTCCATCTTCCATCAACTTAGAACTAAGACTAGATGTTTGATGAAATAGTCTGGTCAGGCAGAAGTCTAAAGAGGAAAGAGAAAATGCACTCCCATAGCTGAAGTGTCATTTTGTTCTCTGACAAGACCATTTAAAAGCTCCTGGGGAAAGAGGCAAGTGTGGGGATGGGGCCTGGCCCTGAAAAAGTGCCTTCTTTTTACACTCCTTCACTGGGACACATTATCCTAGTCCTGACTTTCTCCTCGGCCCTACATCTTCAACTGCATCCGGGTCATGAATGTTGTTTTCATTGTAGAAAGTTAATTTCCCTGTTGGTGTGGGATGATCTAATTCTTGAGTGTAGCTGGGGAATAAGGCTAAAATTTATGAAATTTCAGGAAAGAAAAATTTATGAATCATGTTCTTTGTGTAACAAAAAATAGAGGAAGAGAAATTTTATTCTGGCCCACTTGGAGGAAACAAAGTATTTCCAAAATGTAGTCTTTAATTTTTCTACTTAAAATCAGTTATTGCCAGTGTAATTTTTTGACCTTACAACTTTCTCCAGGTCACTAGTGTAAAGCAGAGAGAACTGGAATGTATTTTGCTTTAATAAATTCTCAAACTTTACTAATCTTAATGTAGTTTTCTAAACAATTCAAAGTGATGTCAAAAGCTAAGTTAGTTTTGTGAATGTTGATGGATAAATCAAGTGTGCAAGGTTAAAAAAAAAAAAAACCATGACTGAGTCCACACACCCGTCATTTTTAATGGATTAGGTTAGTAGTGAGATCAGCTGCTAATATAACTCACAGAGACCCAGCTGCCTGAGGATTTCTTCATTGATTTCAAATGAATTGAAACTTTGATCCATTACAGCATTCGGGAGAAGCCATTATTATACATGCTCTGTAGCTACATTTTGCAAATGTTAATTTCTCAGTTATATTAAAATCAATTTTCTTAAATAGCAAAAGGCACCAGAGTGAAAGAGAAACCGCTAAGACAATTTTTTGTTCTTGGGCATTTTGCTGTATTATGAGTCTATTAATTTTCCCAACCAGCAGGAAGAGAATTAGAAAAATTCAAATATTATCATAAACAGGATATTAGAAGTCAGCCCGTCAGTAAATTTTTAACTCTCAATGATACATTGCTAAGCTATTTAAATTTACTGGAAATATTTATTTTCAGAAACTCCTGTCCCTTGGCTCTTTGTAGTTTTATACACTGACCACCTAGTTTTCAGGTAGGAACAAAGGAAATGATCCATTTTAAATTTATTCTGTCCTTTGATGTATGACTGAATATTCTGCAGGAAAATCAGGAATCTTCTAAATGGATTTCACTTCATATCACATAATTTTTCAAGTGTTATTGTATATTAATTTAATCTTGAAACAATTTGATAATGTCAGAAATAATAATTGATACAGAAGATTATAGAAATCAGTACCATTCACATCAGAGGAAATTAACTAGTTCTGAACAAAACACAATAAATAATGTAAAATTTGATGTTATTTAGGGATAGTGCATTTTTGTTTTTAAACCAAGAAAAATAAAGATGCAGTCTAACTGCTTTTTTATCCAAAACCTGTTTAATCATCACAGAGAAACTTGATGGTATTTTTCTAGGTATTGTGTTGTATTGCCAATGTAACAAAAACCAGAAATTTTCATTTCTTAGTATCTGTGTGCAATTTCTTTTGGAATAAAGGAGATGGCTAATTTTACGTTAGCATTTGCTATCTTTAGCTTGGTCAGTATGAATTTTCCTTTAACAAATACTTTTATGTAGTGATATAAATTTATCACAATTGCACATTTATTTTGTATTTCAGCATCTTTCAACACTACAAGCTATACGAGTTTGTGTTCTACTCTCCCAGAGAAGAAATTGTGATAGGGACTGAGGTAAGTAATTTATCTAGATAGAACCAATTAAGCAGAATCACTTAATCCATGCTGATCAGCATCTGGATCTTTAACTGCTTAAAGCAACTTCTTGTCAAGACTACTCAAGTGTTAATATAACCAACTAGTAGTTTGCAAAAAGAATAATTATATAAAGTGAGCTTTGGATTAAGAAAATAAGCTGCCTTTTGGCATTAGCATCATTGTTAATCATGTATGCTTTAAGACTGTATAGATTATTTGATAAAGCTCCATTGAGTAGCAGACATACGTCTTTTACAAATAAAAGCAGGAAAATGAGATAAATTAATTTGGTTACATATTATAATTTCACATTTATTTTCAGTCTATGCATTTTCTAAAGACGAATTCCAGTCTTACTTCCTCAGGAAAGCAAGCCTATCTTAACTACATACATATTGAACAAAGGGTTTGGACAAACTATCTAATTATAGTCTATGGTTTTATTTCAGTTCATCTCTCCTCCGTGAATCTTAGTAATGTTATACAATAAGCATGTAAATATGCACTTTTACATGGTTTTCTAATTTTTTCCTGTGGGTTGATATACTCAGGAAGCTCAAAAGTAATTTTCCCAAAGCAAGGATCATCTGCTATTTTTCTTTGATGTGTGGCAGCTTATAGCACCATACTGGAACCAGCATCTGCTCAACTAATACTATATAAGCTACTCAGTAGCTGTGCACGGAACAAGTGTTCTATGACATGTGGTCTACCAAGAGACACTTTTAGTTAATGTTACATAGAATTACATATTTACAATTACTAAAAATCAATACTGAGTAGGAAAACATTTTAAGAAAACTAAAGCTGCTATAAAAAGTTATACTTTAGGTTCTCAATCACTTTATGAGTCTTCATTGTCTTGTAGAAGTATCAGGTATATTAGTGACCATCATCAGAGTTAAACAGTGAATAGGGGGATATTTACATTATAACTCTTCTGACATTAAGCACTGGGTGAAAAGTCACAATTGTTTTGGCCTCAAATTGTTATTCTGGGATTTATAAATTGCTTACTTCGAAAGCACCTCTATAACTGTTATCCTCCACTGAGTACCTATTGAGTGGAAGCCTCTTAAAAGTAAGTGGCGGGAAAATGGAGTCCTTTCTGCTTTAGATTTCCCTTAAAATTTCTCCTTTGCAGTCTTCTCATCCTCTATTTTAAATTAAGTGTCACTGGAAAAATTTCACTGAAAACGTTTCCGTTGCAGAATTATATCACACAGCATGACAGTGCTGGAATACAACCTTACCTCCTCTACGCAGCAAAATTTCGGAGAATGACAGTGGCTTGAACAGTAGAGTAACTAGACATTTAGGGTCATGAAGAAAAAATTTCAAAGCTCCCTTTTACATTGTTAGTTGAATAATGCCTTCCTTCTACGTTGTAAGGATATTTTTAGATGGCATTTGTGCTTATGGAAAGATAAATTAGATGAAGTAGACAGAGATTGGCTCTTTTATTTTCCACTGTCTTTTGTACTTTTCCCCCAGCTGACCAGAGCCAAGAAAACACTTTTAAGGACATGATCTTGGGTCTTCAAGAATTATATGACTTACAGAATTTGAAAGGATTAACATTAACAAAAGTGTGTATTATAGTGTAGCATCTTATGGTGTCTTAGAAGTGTCTGATAAATTTTGGTTCAAATGTGTCTGTTTTGTAATTAAGAAATTGTCATGGAAGAATGGCCTCACTCATATGTGATTATTCGTGCTGATCTCAGGTTTTTTTTGTGACCAAATATGGGCCACATGACATCCATATAAATGTTTCAAATTTAACCCTCAGGCAAGCATTTAATTTAGAAAACACTGGAACAATTTAGTTTTTTTTTTTTTAACTGTAGATAGGCAATTAGGAGAAAACATAAATTCCCACTATTCATACAACTCTCCTGTTCATAAGTGAAAACAGAATCATAAAATAGAATGTGTTTTTCCACTGTTAATGAAATCATAAACTAGGTAAGGGTGATCAGTGGCTGCTAACATCACAAAAAGAGAAACCCAACACTATTTGCCACCTAATAAAATAAAAACTATCTTAGTTACTTTTCTCATTGCTGAGACAAATTACTCAACACCCAAAATTAAAGGATGAAAGATTTGTTTGGCTCACGGTTGTAGAGGTTTCAGTCCATAGTAGGCTGGTTCCAAGGCAGGGCAGTGTGGCAGAGGGGCATCGCAGAGGAGAAATATGAGACAACAAGCAGGCAGGTGAGAGCACATGCACCTTCTTTCTATCCCTTGTATTTCAGGCAGAATACCCACCATAGGGCAGGTGTAGAACTCACATCCTTAGTCCTAGGCAGAACTATGCCAAACAGAATCAATGGATTCTTTTAGTAATTGTCCATCTTTGATCCCATCACTACACACTGTAGGTCCACCCACCTCTGAAAAGCCCTTCCCCTACTACTGCATGAGGCTTTTGGGGGGCTATCTAGGCATAAGCCATTATACCATGTATGAATTATTTTTGCTAGACATTTAAAATTATCCCTCTTCTGGCTGTTCTTCTAACACTAGCTTCCCATTAACTTAAAATATAAAAGATAGAGGAGCATGTTAAGATTATCACAGCAATGCAATTAGTAAAACAGGTTGTGAGAGATTCTATGAAATAGATTGTGTGGAATTTTCAAGAAATAAATCACAAGGTGGTAAAATAAACCATGTAAAATTGAGGCTATAGATTAAAAAAGAGCTCCATTGCAGTATAGGCATCTCACTTGGAATCTGTGTGATGGTTTGGATATAGTTTAAGTGCATCCCCTGAAGGTTCACGCATTGGAAGCTTAATCTCCAGTGTGGCGAGGCTGGAACTAACTGAATCTTTAAGAGCGGGTGCCTACTGGAGGTTCTCAGGGGACTGATCTCGGAAAGGATTCCCCCTTAGGTCATTGAGGCCATGCCCTTAGAAAGGAGAGGCTTTGAGGTCACTGGGAACATGCCGTTGGAAGGGATTACAGAGCCCAAGTCTGTTTTTAGCTTCCTGTTCTAGATGAGACCTCTTCCTTCGTTCCAACACACTCCTGCCATCGTGACCCTACCTACCATCCCCCACAAGGTCCGCACTATCGCCGGCCGCTCGCCCTTCTGTCTCCAGAACTGTGAACTAAATAAACCTCTTCTTCTTTATGAAGTTAGCCTGTCTCAGATATTTTCTTATAATAATAAAAGACAATATAGTAATAGAGTCAAACAGAAGGACAGCCAATTAACTCAAAACACAAACACAGAATAGTTATGATATAATCAGATATATTTGCATACTGGCTGTGTATTTGGTCATGACTGTAAACTAATTCTTGAAAATGTAAATATGTTAACTTACATGGTAAAAGGAACTTTGCATATTTGATTAAGGAAAGGCATTTGAGTTGGGGAAATTATTCTGGATTACTCAAGTGAATTCAACATATTGGTAAGCTTCCCTATTAAAAAGAAAATGTAAGACAGGAGTGTCAGAGTGAGAGAGGAAGATTTGAAGATAGCTATACTGTTCAATTTGAAGAAGAAGAGGCCACAAATTTATTAAATATGTATGTAAAAACTCAGTTTATTACTGCTGTTCATTTTTAAATATAAATTTAAAATTTAATAAATGTGTATCTGGAAGTTTAGTACATGATATATAGAAATATTTAGGGAAGCAGCACTTGAAATCAGTTGGGATACAAGTTTAATTTTTAACAATTTAGACTTCTACCTTATACCACATTTTAAAATGAGTTCAGTTTATTAAAACAACCATTTCTGATAATGGCAAATGATAATTAGCCCAGCACTGTCCCTGAGAACAACTGGAAAAGCTAACCAAAATGTCTTTGAAGTCTTACATGTTTGAAAATTCAGCCAGCAAACCCAAAAGTCTTACGAGTCCAAGAGGTAAGCCAGGCATTTGGCAACATTTTCTACTTGTAATTCTTTAACAGTTTAAGAAATGTGAGGAAGAGACTTAGGAACTAAGAGTTTGAGCTTTGACCGACACAGGGAGCTACACAAATGAAAACTGGAGGGAAAACAAAATACAGTAAATAGCAGAAGGTGTACATCGGACTCCAGAGGATCATCTTTTAAAAAAAATCAGCAGCTCATCAGCCGTACCTTCAGTTTCAAATCATCTCAGTTTCTAATGATTCAACTATGTGCAGTGCTAGCCACTTCTAAAGTAACATATAACTATGCCACACTCCAAATTATATTAACATTTTTTCATAACCAGTGTCTGTCATATAATAAAAAACACTGAGCAGACAAAAATTAGGAACAGACCACAAGTATTTCACATGATTAAGTAGTCATATTAAAAGAATTATTCTTGAGAAAGAACAAATATTCTTAGAAAAAAATATAAAATGTTAGATTTCAGCAGAGAACAGAAAGTTGTTTAGAAATATTAAGTGGAAATTCTGGAACTGAAAAAAGTAATTGAACCAGTAAATGTGTTTAACAACCAATTAGACATAGCAAGAAGAAAAACTGGTAAGGTCAAGTATAAGCTAAAAGACAAAAATTAAAACAAAATACAAGTATGCAAAAGTATGGTAAACAAAAAAGAAGTATCAGAGACTATAGCTATAGTGGAAAAGTGTGACAGAGATCATTACAGAGAGAGAAGATAGAAGTAACATTTTAAGAACAGATTTTCCAGAAATAACCACCATTAAAGCACAGATTCAATATTTACTATGAATCACCAATCGGAGTAAATCCACACATAAGCATATCATAGTAAAATTTCTCAAAACAAAAGTTGAAACAAATCTTAAAACCAGATATGAAAGAAAAAGATGTTCCTTTCAAGTAAACAACAATAAAATAGACTGAGAACTGACTTCTCAACAGGAAAAAATGAGATCCAGAAGACAATGATATAACTTCACTTGTTCTAAGAAAATACAGTAGTACCTCGGTTCATCAACATAATTTGTTCCACAATTCCAGCAAAGGCGGCCATGTTGGTGTTT